GATGAAAACATGATTGGGCGACCTGGGTAGCCCTCCCTAACTTCTGCTCTACTGTCACAGTAATTACCCTTGGAGCCCCGTGGCATCCGACCTTGGTGAAAAAGACCCCGGGAAAAGCAAAGAGCCACAAATATCAACAAAAGACGCATTTTGATGCGAAAGGGATGCGACCTGGGAGAGCCGAGCTCCCTGTCCATCACTCGGAAGTGTTGTGAATGGCTACAAAGCCCCCCAGAGTGGGACTTTGTGGGATTTGGACGTTGCCAAGAGCGAATGCCACATTGCCTTGCCAAGTATTAGGGAGAAGACAAGAAAATCCCACCACACGTTGAGAAATATCAACAAAGCTCCAGCATAAAGGCCACATTTACAAGTACACAAAGCCAAAAAGGCTGGACGGTATAGGGCTAAACGGAGCGTATTATGTTGCACTGATGCCACAAGGTCTGAGGCCGAGGTGGAAGTTAGGCCTCTGCTTTACATTCCAAGAAAAGGGGCACACAACCGTGACTCCGGGGGGAAACACAGTTGCCCTGTGCCTTAATCTATCATTCTGACTGTCATTTTATCCACTGTGCATTGCCAAGTGAATTAAAGCCACTTTAAGAAGCTCAATGAACGCCTTTTGTATCCCATTATCTTCTTGTTCCACAGCTTTGTGGGCAAAGTTACACATCAGCGAATCAGTAATGTCTTGAAAGGCTGTTTGGAAAAGAAATATCCGCTCATCGGATTTACACATCCTATGACTAGGAAGCGCTGAAAGTGAAGGCGTTGACTTTCAAAATGGATAAAAAGGCTCAAATTATTAGAGGAGTCCGCGCTAGCTGTTGGCTCAAGCTGAAGAATTCCTTCTTGATTTTCATTTTGCTATTTAACGCTCACATCTACATTCCTCGACAGCATTTTGAATACACTGATGTTGTGTGGAACAATCTATAAATTCAACATGTCACCCTAATAATCTCTATATCAACACTACTTTTTGATATTTCCATTGAGCCCTGGCAAACAGACACCCGTCCTCGTGCCAACAAACATCTGATGACGACTGAAATATTTCAGTTTCTTTAAATTTGTCTCTTGCATTCAATTTAGACGGCACTTTCTTAATATCAAAAAATTTATTTCTTTATCATTGTAAGCTCAATTGGTCATAAGTGTTTCTATGAGCAGAGTTGTGTTCCTTTATATCTGCTCTTTCACACACACTTTCATGCATACATGATCACAATTGTATCTGAAGTTGATACTTGACAGACACTGGAGAATGCGCTGATCATTGATTTTTGTATTTTGTTTTACGTACATGACTTTTTTAACTTAAGTAACCAGATCAAATTATCCGCTTACTGGCTGGTTTGTTGGGAAGTTGCAGAAAAGCAATTCAAAGTTTGCTAAGTTATTATAATATTTGCCGATGAGAGCTGGTTTGACCTGCTGGGAGCTGCTACCACACCAAGACAGACGGATGCAGGTTACAGGACAATCAAACTACGAATTAAACTTACAATAGCATAATTTCCAAACACTGTCTTTGATATCTCCTCTTATTATCTGATAAATACGACTGTTAAAAACACTTCCTGCTCGGAAATAGAATACAGACACGTCTGCAGGAGGTTCACTTCCTGTGTGCATGGACATTAAAGGTAAAATGACAGGGGTTAACTTTGCTGAGGCATCGCAGCCCTCTCCCGGGTCAAGCACACACCGGGCACCTTTCCACAGGGGAACACACAGAGAGGGTCTTGTTCTGCGGCCCATGTGCAGGTCAGTGCCCGGCAGGTAGGAGTGAAATGATAGGTCTCCCCAGACACACAGCACAGAGGACGCACTGTTTCCCCACAGCTGAAGCATCCACTGGAATGCAATATAGGGCGGCAGGTAACTTTCAGTTCACCGCATACCTTTATCGAAAATCTTCAAATCCCAGGAAAGCCCCCTCCTGCCATCTGACACGTTGGTGGGAATTCAAAAACGGGCAGGACAGAGATCCGGACTTGACAGGCATCAAGCTGAAGGGGAGGATTAGTGTCTTAAGGAGGGACAGTCGGCGGCGTTACTTATGTTTAGAGTTTGGTCTGCTCGACACTTGAAACCCATCGAGGTCTGGCAAACAGATACCGGTCCTATTTAATATAGCGTTAAAATGGTTGTTATTTATGCACGTTTAACATTAAAAGACAATTCTACTCCCAGAGTCATTAAAATACCATCTTTATGTCTCATTTTAAAAAACATTTTCTCACTTTACACTGTAGGCACAGTAACAACTGTGCAAAAGGGAATGTTTTTTTAAAGAAATGAACTTCCAACAATCCAGTTACTTAATATCCAAATTCCAAGCAAACATTGTTTAAAATATTATACATTCTACATCTAAACAGTAAACCACTACTAGCAAAAACATGTAGATGAGAGCAAGAGCAATACCTAGATAACCTCCAGACCTCAATCGAGCCACTGGAGAATTCAAAAAGGTAGATATAAGAGTTTTGAACAACCTCAGAAGTGCAGTTCTCTCCAGTCACGCCCCCATTCTGGTCAAATCCCAGAAGAGAGTCCACTGTAACAGAAACTGCAAGCAGACACCAGTCCTGACCAAATGCAGCCTCCATATATATATTGTAATATTTTAGAACAGATTATGGTAGCCAAGCCTAAAGCTATATATATTTTGGGGGGTTTTTTCTCCATGGGATGAAATGACTGACAGTCAGTAGCTTGTCCAACAGTAGTACTGCTGACCCCACTTTGAGCTCACTGTTTCAGTTATCCGGACCAACAAAAGCAAACCAACGCTGCTTCGTATATAGAACCGCAAGTGGTGGCTGCTCCCAGCAACTGTTCACTGACCTTAGACAGCAAAAGCATTTCATCAATCAAATTCGGGCAAATAAAACAATGATTCACAATTCACCTGGTGTTCCATCTGAACACGCCTTTAGACTGGGTTTCACTCACTTCCCCAGCTACTTCCCCAGCCACTCGTCTCTTGACACTGGGCTGAGCTATTCTGAGCTAGTGTGCTGGGAGGTGGCTGCCCAAGAGTTTATTTGGGGTGTTTAGAGCAAGCTTTTTGGGATTCAATCTAACAGAAGGAGCGCAGGGAATCAAAACATGAACTGAACATGGTTGAAAAGTCGCAGTGGGAATGGCAAAACTAACAGCATTTTCACATGTTGTAGTTCCACTCTTAGTTGTAATTTTAAATAAAACACAAATGGATGTTTAAACACCCAATCAGATGTTACCCAAGTGTAAATACTACATATTATTTTAAATATCCATTAGTTGTGTTTCTGTAAAGGACAGTATTCTCCAATGTGTCCCTGACAGGTTCAGCTGTGCCAGCTCAGAAGTATAATATAATCTTCATTTAATGCCATTATTATGTCACGTGTCTTTGCAGTCAGAGCGTGCTCTGTTCTGTCAACCGTCCATCAGCCCATGTACTGCCATTATGCAACAACCCCTAGATGTGAAAAAACACAGCGCACATTCCTTCTGAAGTCTATTCAAGACCCCCTCATCTGGTTCAAAGTCTTGATTGTGTACTTTGGTTTTACATGAGGGTATTACTTTCTGGACAGTTGTTATTGTTCGTCAAAGTTGTGCAGCATGGGCCTCCCTGAGCGCTGCTGGCAAAGGAACAGCCAAACCCGCTTCTTCATCTGGGACACAAACCACAAGCATCACACATACACAAGGAGCAATAACCACAGGATGCAATTTCTCCGCACCTGAACGCACCTCCAACACAAACATCAGCATGGAAAAAAACAAACAAATGGTATGCAAAAATATGCTAGTGCAGGTACAGCATTTGGTAAGATAAATACAATCCAGAGAAGCAAAGCCATTCAGCACAAGTAGCATTCTGAGCACAACAGTGCCTGCAAGATGAATCAATGGACAATTAAAGTGCTTGGTGATTGAGGGATTCAAATTCTGACCACATGAACTGTGTGTCAACCTCAGTCCTCCGTCAGAACAGCAACGAACAGCCCCACATTTGTCAAGCTTCTTCTAAAATGTGCCTTTTAAAATCACAAGTGAATGTTGATTGTTTATGCTCAGCGTGGCCGACACTTGGCTACTTCACTTGAGCGACAGTTTCAACACTTTCGCACCACCCCATTACTTCAACCACAGCTCTGCTGGCAGTCAGGGCATTCATTTCCCACAGCTCCCCATGTGCCCACAGGCCCACACGCCTCAGCGCCAGCTGTTTTTCTGTGCCACTGGACAAGTCAGCGTATCTGGGACAAGTCGAGCGAGACGTCTAGAAGTGTCTATTTAGTCTTACTACCCAGCCTGGCCAAACGTTCACGATGGTGCAGGATTACAATGTCTCCACTTTGATGTGATTAGCAGTGTTGAATATCTTCCTATTTAAAAATCAGTGTGTGTGCAGGTCACAGGGCACTGACCACCAGAGAAACAATCAATTATTTCCATTACATCAGTACAAGTAGGATCACTGCTGATGGTCCCTGTGCTTTTTGTCATGGAGTGCAGGCACGACTGAACTTGGACCTTTTGGAGTTGTCCTTGGAAGTCATTATAGTCAATGGTTTATCACAGAAGCAGAGCCTAATGTCAGAGCATGTATGAGACACACAGTTTACATGGACTGATGGTTGTGTTCAAGCTGTTTCTAATTTATGTAACAACCGCTGGCTTTATTCTGGTCTACATGAGAACTGATAACAGCATGCTTTTCACTGCTGTATGGTCTCTATGTGCTTTTTCCCTTGACTCAGAACACTTTATGTTTAGTTTGTCAAGTGCAACCAAAGGTCGGAAATTCTTATCTGAATCCAAATCAGACATAAAGATAGTCAAGTGGGTTATAAAGCACGCATACATATGCAAACAAACCCTTCCAGCGTGCAGCGACAACAACCGGAACAATCGCGCAGCCCCATCTGCACCAACTCCTGTTTTGACGCCCACTCGTGTCTGCACGCGTCTGGCCCCCGAGCAGTTCTTACCTTTTTCAGGCTCTCTTTCTTCTTCTCCTCCTCATGTTGGTAAACAGGCATTTGCAGAAAGTCCTCTTCACAGCAGATGAAGCTCACTGTGCATCCCATCCGAGCAAATCCAGAGCGCACACGTCCACTCCAAACCCATCCAGATCGTCACCCCTTTGGTTCCCCTTCTTTCACGCCTCTGCTGCTGCAGGCACTTAGTAGGACTTGGTTCCGCTCAAACAGGCCACCAATGTGCGCAGTCGGTCTGGCATCGCTGCGCTGCCAGCCGAGCATGAAACAAGTTGATGAGTTTCCCGCACTGGTTACCAGCCACCAGGCGCTGAGGTGACTTCCCGCTGTGGAGGACAGACAGGTAGGGCTCTCTCTCTCTCTCTCTCTCTCTCTCTCGCTCTCTCTCTCTCTCTCTCTCGCTCTCTCAATTCAATTCAATCTAGCTTTATTGGCATGAATGTAAAACAACAATATTAATGTTTAATGTTAAAATAAAGTAAATAAAACAGTAAAAGTGTGTGTTTGTGTGTAAAACAACAAAAAATAATAACTAAATAAATATTAAAAATAAAAAATAAAACAGCAAGCATGTGTGTTGTGATTTCAATTCATATAGTTAAAATGTCAAAAAATAAATAAAATAAATAAAACAGTAAACGTGTGTGTGTGTGTATTAACAGACAAAAACAACAAAAAAAGTATCAGTATCAAATGTGAAATTAAAAAATACAAATAAAGTAACAATAACTAAAATAACAAACAATGGAAATAATGATTTGAAAATTTCATTATTTTCATATGGTCTGTGATTGGTGGCTCAGGCGGTCACTCAAAGCTAGAAGGGGTCGATTGTTTAATAGCCCACACAAGTACAAACATTTTAACCCCCCAGCTAGAGCAAAATGTGTCTACATGCTTGATTTGAATGATTTGGTCCTAGAAGGAAAAGACCTCAGTTCTCACATGTTCTCACATCAGTTGTATCCGTTTCCCGGGCTCATAAATGACCTCCACTCACCAAACCGCTGGACTGAGATCAGTTGTTGCACAATGCAAGAATCCCCATGGTCTGAGTAGCGCTGGTGAAGCTCAAGGGCTCTTTTCATGCAGTCCTGCCGCCCCCTGCTGCGTGATCTGTGAAGTAGTACTGCACAGGCACACGCGCTTTACAAAGATGCGTCACAATCATCGTGATTATTTTCACCGTGAAATGCTCTCGTCCCATTGCCCAATGAGTTATGAGTCTGTTTTCTAAGAGAAACAAAGAGATTATCACGGTGGAAGAAGTAGACCCACAGCTCTTTTACTGAAGGAAAAGGGATGTTACAAAAAGTGTAAAACTGCTTCACCACAAGTTACAATCATGCGAAAGTGGCCTATTATCAGCAAAAAAGTACTACCATGTAACGCCAAGTTTATCATACATGATACAAGAGTTTCTGAAACCTCTACATCATCAGTGATAATGTTTAACAAAAAAACAGGCACGGAATAATCCACCAGGGGCCGACGTTCATCCACCACAGGTCCTTCAACTGAGACAGCCAAAATGGAGGTTTGCAAGAAAACTTATACCAATTTTGAAGGAGTTAATATAATATATAGTTACTTAATATTTCATAACTTATTTAATAGTAAAATCATGTTGAAAATGTGTGTAACAAATTAGATACAGCCGGTAAATAAGGTAATTTATTTATACATCTGTAAATCATAGTTTTATATCCTTCATTACGCAAGCCATTAAGCTACATAAACTCTTTTAATTATTTAAGGAATCTAATAAAAGGAATAATTTGGTTTATTTAGAGCAGAAATTGAGAATTTTTGTATAAATAATATTATATTGTATTTTCCTGCTGTAGGGAGATGCTAAATGTCTAATTGGATGCTCACTTCATAATATTTGTCTTTTGGTCATTGATTTTAAACAACAATTTACCAACTCAGAGGAGAAATACACAGTGATTTGTGTTTGGTTTTTATTTTTTAAATGGCAAAAAAAAGTACTGCATTGAAGATATCCTGATTATGGATGGCAATTCAGTTGACATGGAGCAGTTAGGGGAAGATGATGATGATGATGATGATAAAAGGCTTAAAACATGTTTTCTGCATGTTTTTTGTTGTTTTACAAAAACATAATGTGGGCAATAAATTCCAAATGTATCAAATATGTTAGGGAAAAAAACTCCAACATGCAAAGAGCTATTTTTTTGTCTTTCTTTTTTTGGCAGTAGGTATAATAACCACTCCATTTCCCAAAATTTTAATTTTCTGGCAATTGTATGATTTGAGTTGTTTGGTTCAGTCTTTACAGGGTTGAAGAATCAAAGTAAAACTCTGCAGAAAAAAGGCTTCTGAGGCTGATATATTATTGTACGTCATTATTATTGCTTAGGCAGCATTATACAGTTGTAACTGGTGGGTTGTAGCTAGTTTGAAAAAACTGCCACACAAATGTTTTTATCTTGTGGACTTTTACTCAGATCTTGGCCTTTTGTCCTCTTTTGACCTCTTTGAGCCTTGAACAATAATTTATACGAAACCAAGGGAAAGTTTTGGAGAGGAATTGTCTCTTTGGTGGTTGCACTGCTTGCAACTCAAAAACACCTGAAACATTTTTTGTAAGGGGCCACAAGTCAAAAAGACTGGCCACTGGTTTAATCTTTAATAATGCATTGGGTTTTCCAAGCTTATCTAATGTTAATATAAAAAGTAAATCACAACCAAAGCTGTCATCTCAAAGTGACATTGTGTATTTCCCCCCCCCCCAGTTGGAAAGGAACCAGGGATGGTGCATTTACATGCAATGTACCTTAAACCAGGTCAGTTGCACACCAAATCTTTCTGCTACCATATGTCAAAGTGGTGATTTTAAGGGGCCCAATCATGATTTCTTTACTATGCAAATTACAATTACATGTATGTATTTGTGTATATATTATTTACAACCAGCGTTATCATTAAATATTATTATTATATAACTTTTGTGTGTTTCACCATTCTCCATTAGCTCTTTATGTTCAAAGGCAAGATGCATTGCCAGGGCAGGAAGTAATGTGAGGCTTACATAATGCAGTTCATTCTGTATCACACTTGACATGACCACAATCTTTCTCCAACTTTATTTAGTTAGTTTTAATTTCCTAATAAAAGACGATATCTTACCATACTTGAGACGCTGCAGAAATGGCTAAATAAAAAATATTGCCATCTTAATGCAGAGTTTGCAGAAACATAAACTACTACTGTTGCCTTTTGGTCAGCAGGTTGGCACCTGATGGAACCTTTAATATGTGAGAAACTGTCCTGACATGTTTCAGTCCAAGCATGGCTATAGACTGTTCTCACAGCAGACATTCTGACTTGTCACAACACCAACAACTTTAGCTATGGCTGAAGCCCTTGTAGGTGTTCCAGTGACCAACCAGAATGGTAACAGAGCCAAGTTATTAGGTACACTTGTGCTTTTCTACTAAAGGTCCAGTCTTTCCAGAAAAGAGTGTATAAGTGTCACACTCTGCCTGTCAGCCATACCTTGTTTTGCACTTTTGAGTTTAGTTTATTATCTATTATCTTGGTCTGTTGGGTTTTGGGGCTCTGTTTTGTCTGTCGTCTAGTGTTCAGTAACCTATGTCATGTCTGTTACCCCAGTGGTCCCTCTGCATGTCTGTCTCTCTGTTTTCCCCTGCTCTCCCCCTGCCTGCCTTTGCCTCGCAGTCTTGTCACCCTGCTTTAGATTCTGGATTTCTGTTGCATTACCTTGTTTTGGACTCTGTTGATCAGCCACTCTTCCTGTAAGTGCGCTCGCCTTTTGTTGTCATTAACAAATCACTGAACTGTACCAGTCGGTTTTCGTGTCCTGCATTTGGGTCCTCCAACCTGCCTCCACACCACAAACCCGTGACAATAAGGTTCACAAGAACGAGGCAGAAAGATCCTTAAACAGTGTTTTAAAGATTTCCTCAATGCTGAGATATATGAGAGGGGGATCTCAAGACTTAATTTTCTGCATTTTGGTGAACGTTTCTGCACCAATTTATGGTGGAAATGTTTTTATTTAAGTAAAAGGAAAAACAAAATTCAGGCGGCAGGTGACATTTCAAAATATATAAGAATCTAAGTCAGTGCAGCTCTCAGTCATTCTGTGCTGCTTTCAGATCTGTTTCTGCTGTAGATCAACTTTTCTCCTGTAATATCTCCTTTCTCCTTTTTTGACAATGCACATTTGTTTCTTCTGTATTTTAATTACATTGCATATTTTCTTAATGTGCAAATTAACCTTTCTAAAGGCATTTTCATTTGGCATTTAACTGCAAGCCACATTTCAGAATGTTGTTTTAATGATTATGCTTTAAATAAGTGATGGGGACAAAATCAGCCATTTCAAAAAGTGGTGGGGACATGTCCCCAGCGTCCCCAGTATAAATGACACCTATGTATTTAGCATTTTAGTGGTGAGTGGTGAGTGTTCCATCTTGATGTGAGTTTTATAGAGGCTCCGCGGTGAAGTTAGCGACGCTTAGCAACCATAAATATGCCACGTCCGGTTAGACTTTCAAAATATAACAATAGCATTTCGAAACATCCCCATTTTGAAATGGCACGTTATTAAAGTCGTGAAAAGTCACTCGCTTCCGCTTCCGGCCAATGGGACCTTATTTCTGAAAAAATATGTACAGTAGTCAACAGCGAGAGACAACTTATTTTTTGATCAGTCATTGAGAGAAAAAGGTATGAAGTCACATACGCAACTTTTGGGTTTGTGGTCTTTGTAATTTTGTTTTTTTCACAGTCTTTTACCTCAACAGTTTTACATAATAATAATAATATAATCCTTATTTGTAGAGCACTTTTCAAAAAAAAGTTACAAAGTGCTTTAACAAGTGTAAAGAATAATACAAAAAAACAAGTTAAGAGCATGAAGAATTAATATAAAATTAGTAAAATACAATAAAATAAAAGGGATAAAATAAAGTCAAATAAGATCGGGAAAAGCTCTCCTATAAAAGTATGTTTTAAGAAGGGACTTAAAAGAGTTCACTGACTCAGCCGACCTGATTTCCTCGGGCAGGCTGTTCCAGAGCCTCGAGGCCCTGACAGCAAACGCTCTGTCCCCTTTAGTTTTCAGTCCAGACTCTGGAACAGACAACAGACCTCTGCCCGAGGATCTCAAGGTACGTGCTGGTGCGTATGGGACTAAAAGCTCAGAAATATAACAAGGCGAGAGGCCATGAAGAGCTTTAAAATCAAACTGCTGCTTTCTTGACTTTAAAATTTATCTTTTAAATTGACCATCATATGTAATTCAGAGCACAATTCAAAGGGA